CATCAGGAGAGGGTAGAAATGAGTTTGAACGTAGAAGACCATTGCAACGCACTTGAACGTATATCAGTATAGTTAGAATCAACGCAAGCAAGGCTGCATCATTACATGCGTGAAGCAGTGATTGTGAGTCAGTACGCCAGGTGCATGGCTGTGAGGTATTTAGTTATCAAACTTTGGATACCCTGGCATATTCCACATGCAAATTCCTTCTACTGCTTTTAGATACCTAGTGAATAGTTTAGCTTTAGACCACCTGCTTCTGAAACACTTTTGGCAACGAGGAAGTTACTGGTGTAGTAAATGAAGCAATTGCAGGTATTTCTAGCAATATAATGTTTCCATAGAATTGTAGGTGATCATAAACAGGTTGTTTTACCACCAGCTGAACTGGATTTATATCAAGACTGGGAACGTATAAACTCGATTAACGTCGTTGCCTCGGATTATATAGCAAATTTGCTCCACCCAGACGTTTTCTCCTAGGGTAACCATTTAGGTAGGCTACGACTTCATGGTGTTTGAACACTTGCAGTGTCCGATCTATGATGCATCTCGCATTGTCGTGTTCGTTAGAGCTACATATTGTTGATTGAAAACCGATATTTCAGGGGCTCTCTATATTCCATTTCATAAATATCAAAGTATGCGTACATCTACTGAAGTTTGCTAAATGCACATCATGTTCGAAAGATAGATTTCACGGTGTATTGCCACCCCCTCTCTTGTTCCGAGTTGAATGAGGAGGGCATTCAATGGGCCTTGGCTCCTTAGCAGTTGGATTCTCCCATTGCTAGATGCATTTCTTGTCGCTGTTTTCGCTAGAGCAATTTCACGCTCACTAAGAATGAGTTCCGTTACCACTGAGTCATGACTTGTTTAAATGGCGCCTGTCTGTAATTAGAATCAAGGAGACGATTCAGTGCGCTGTAAAATCTGATCTTTCAGAAGCTATGGATTATGTGACATGTTCCGGCGTTCGAATATGTTTGGTATGTATGAATTATGAAGTTCTGCGCAATTATGCTTTAACGTTCTTATCGTTATACGTTGTACTAGCAGGAGAATATACGTCTGTGACAAACTCTATGTCGTCATCCGCTGATACCAGCTTATCTCTATGTCACCTGACTTCCTTATCCCAGTTCACGACGAACGATGTGTATCTACCTTGGCGTTAGCGTAAAATGCGCTTGGCTATACTGCTGTTATTTGGAATCATTTCTTGTACGAGCGCCTCATGGAGGAGGAAGCAACGGGTGATAGCGAAGGGTCGATTGATGTGTGGCCATCTGCCAGCAGCAAATGTCCTGGTCAAGCTAATGGATGAGGACGATGGTAATCGTTTTGTTTTCTGCAGTAAAAACACGTTTACGTCGACGTTTGAATCTCAGGCCTGGATTCAGACGATCTGATGGCTGAGGGAAGAACGGACCAAAACGGCGGGTTCCTGCTTAATGGAACGGAATCAGAAATCACAAACATCGACCCCGTCATCGAAGTTTTCACCGATTGTAATAGGAGCAAAAAATTAAAGGTAAAATTCAGTGAAACGATGCTAATGTTTAACAAAACATTTCTGACAATGGGATGATGATAGCCCAAAAATATCTGAATCGCGAACTGACTTACGTTACACATAATTTTGGTCCTTTTTTGAAGACAAAACGTTTCAAGGTTTATGATTAGCTAAAAACGAGAATCCACCGATGCATTGGTATCCCGAGCGTAGATATCGAAGTCGCGATGCCGAATGCAAAGCCTCTCGTTCAAGCTTTAAAAATCTGCTGGAGCGGCTTGTAACAGAACAGGCAAAGTACAAGTTGACGCAACTAGCTTG